CGTAATAAACGATGGGGTAGAACTGCAAGACGTACTCATTGGCCACATGCAACTGTTTATTATAAAATTGGATGCAAAGAATATAGTAAGAAATTTTTATAAATTAAAATGGGAATTCATTTAACCTCATATTTCTTAATTGATTTAAAATATAGCTGAAGATGAAATCGATTCAATTAAAACAGCCTTGAATGATATTATGAACAAAACATGTGTACAATTTATTGAGATTTATGATGATTCACATCAAAAAAATTACATTAATCTATCGGTGAGTAAAATATTTTAAACTATTTTATATTATTTTTTGAAAAAGTCAACAATTCTAACCGATTAGCAAAATATTTTTGTGATGCTTTATTCAAAATTTAAATTTTGCGTTTTACAACATAACAATTTTGCAGCGGCAAGAGGCGAATTATATTTATAAATGATGATTAACTTCATTGGGATTTAAATTAGAAAAAAATTAACCATAATGGTTATGTATTACAAAAACTTCTCATATTAATTTACACAAAACATCTAATCTTTTATATTGTAAAATTGCATACTACTAGGAAACATTTTACCTACATATTTTAAACGTTTTCCAATTGTTAAATTGTATAATTTTTTAGTGCAATCCAACTGGAAGTTGTGTATCAAAACTTGGTTATGAAGGTGGTGTACAACATATGAATTTAGCACGTAAAAAATTCCCAAAAGAACCACTACGGGCTTGTTTATCAAATCGTAAAATTCAACATGAATTCTTACATGCATTGGGTTTTAAACATGAACATACATCATTTAATCGTGATGATTATCTTGAAATTAAATATGAAAATATTGAAGAAGGTTGGGATAAATATTTCGCTAAGGATCCTGAAGATAGATATAATTCGTATGGTTGTGAATTTGATTATAATAGTGTTATGATGCCACCAACAAAAAAACATTCTAAAAATGGACTGCCAACTTTTGTTCCAAGAGATCCAGCATATACTCCATTAACAATGGGAATAGCTCCAGGTATATCAGAATGCGATGTAACCAGAATAAATAATATGTATTGTGTTAAAAAAAATAAAAATAAAAAGGTTAGATTTGAGGAATGAGTAAAAAGTGTTGTTTTCAAATAATTTCTATTGTGAATTTTAATGTTTGAAATTCGTAATTGTCATTAAAATAAAGTTGGGTCAAACCAATGGTTTGTATTGTAGGACTTTTCCCTTCAACAAGTGAAAATTCTGCTTTTAAATACAGTCTATGTACCTATCACACTATAAAAATTATTTTCATTCATATACAAAACTATTACTAGGATTGCATATATTTAGGATGACGCATATATGCAGTCTTTGAAATAAAGCAAAAATTAACATAAAAAGGGGTTAACATAATGCTCGATTTTAAGGGTTAATTGTGTGAGTTAAGAAAAATAATTATATTTTTTAGTGTCACGAAATTTACCGTTAGCTTTTTGCGTTTATAAAAATTTGGAAAAGCTTGCGGTTTCGGAAATATAGGGTGTCAAAAATTCAAATTTTACAAATTTCAAGAGGCGATAACTTGAGAGGGGGTGGAGATGGAAAAAAATTTTCTTCTAGCGAAATGAACTATTTGATAATGTCTAAAAGTTCCTAAAATTTCAAGCTTCTACAGGCTGTAGTTTGGAAAAAAAACGACATCAAAAATTTGCAAAAAAAGGACTTTAGATAACGGTAAATTTGAACGGCCATTTTGTTTTTCTAAAGTTTAACTATAGTATACCGCGCTAGGGGAAGCAAGCCGCTGCCTTTCTGCGTTTGCAAAATTTCAAAAATACTTATGGTTTCATTGCAACAAATATTTAAAAAAGGCCATTTTTAGGGTTTTGGGGGGGTATAACTTCTAGAGGGGGGGAGATAGGTAAAAATTTTGTTCTACGAAAATAAGTTTCTAGTAAAGATCTATGTATATATAAAATTTCAGCTTTCTATCTTCAAGGGTGTAGAAGTTTTGTAAACAGACACATGGACAGACGGACGGACGGACGGACGGACGGAGACGGACGCACGGACGGACGGACAGAGTGAAACTAATAAGCACTTTTTTCAAAAAATTTTTTGGAAAAGTGCTAAAAATGATATTAATGATTAAATTTTATAAAGTTCACAATATTATTGAAATCTGATTTGAATTAAATGAACTGTCAGAGTAAACAAATAGTTAATTGGTGGAAAATCTTTTTTTTTTAAATTACAGGAATGGAGGGCACGTTGTTGAAAAATATTAGTTTATTTTCGAATTTTTTGAAAACATTTTTGTAATAATAAAACGTGAATAGCTATAATGATTCAAGAAACACGACACTTTCTAATTAAATTAAAAAATTGCAGAAATTCAGGCGTAACAAAAATTTTTAAAATATATTATTAAATTTTTTATAATGAATATTTTGAGCTTTTGAAATCTATACAATGCAGCTTTAAATCATTGCAATGCAATATTTCAGTATGACATCTAGTGGAATTATGTTCAAATGTTATCAAAGTAATGTTATAATATTACCACGTTGCTCATGTTTATTGATGTAATAATAGTAATAAATAACAATGCAGAAAATTAAATGCTTATTATTACGAAAAAATATTGAAACAGTATTAAAAATTTAGCGCAATTATTCTGTGGCACTAAAGCGAGACAGTCTAAATCAATTTAACGTAAATCGACATATTCCAATATTTGCTTTCGTTATTTTTTCCAAGTTATCAAAATTGATCAACAAACTTGATTTTGTGGTTATATTAAATAACGTCTGTCCAAAGATTTTATTAAATTTTTTTTTTTTTTTTTGGAGCATGTTCTATGTTAATCCACAGACATGCATGTGTGTAAAAAATAAATATGACATATTCCAAAATACATTCATTACCAAAGTAAAATTTAAATATAGAGCGCATTCATAGCTATTTTTAGAATTAATAATAAAAATTGTTTTATTATTTAATATTTGCTTTTAATTTTATTGAAATTTTTGTAAAAAATGTAAATAAAATTTTAATTATAATTATTGATAATATTCATACTGCATACATACGTACGTATATATTGAAAATATTATCTTTATTAACTATGGTGTTAATAAAAATAAAACATTCAACACAGTCGCTATCAGACGGGTTTTAAACTTCTCATGAGTCTGTTTACATATTTTTATTCTTAAGTTAAAATTCTGTAAAAATTTTTAAAAATTTTTAAATGTTTTCCGTTTTGTTAGCTTTGTTTTACGATATTACGATATAACACACTATTTTGAATAATTATTGTAAAAAATATTTTGAATAATTATTATGAGTACCATTTTTTAAAAACCTTTGGAAAAATAAAAGAAATTAATTTTGAATAACATATTTGAAATACCTACATTTGGATTAAAAGTAGAAGGCGGAAATATTTTAAATCTACAACTATTAGGGATTAAATATGAGACAACTGTTACAACAAGCAATGTTCATATTAGTTTTCAACATTCATTTACAGTGGACCTTACCTCTTGATAATGATAACCAGGAGTTAGAATGTAGTGCTCAAGATGAAATTCCTGTAGTGACCCGTACGAAACGAGCTGCCAAATCTATAACAAAATATCCTCCATGGCCAAATTCTACAGTATATTACAAAATCAAATGTAAAATTTTTAGTAAGTAAAATTAAAATTTATTTTATTTAAGAGACAATCCGAAATCAAATTTTACCGTTCGCACACCTTCTTAGTTAATCATTTTAATCATAAAAACAATTATTTTCTAGCTAAAAAAGAATTGAAATTAATAGAGGAATCACTACAAGAAATTGAGGATGAAACTTGCATAAAATTTATTCGTTTAGAAAAGCATGATAAAGCTGAAGCCTATATAAACCTTCAGGTAAATTCACAATTATGTCAAATTTAGAAATATTTTAAATAAAATTCTTTATTGATAAAAAAAAATTAAAATTATTTTTAAGTGTAATTTAACTGGTGGTTGTAAATCAGAACTTGGTTATCAAGGAAAACCTCAATTACTTAATCTTCAAGTAGCTCGTGGCATTACTTCATCTGGTACATGTATGATAAAACGGAAAATTCAACATGAATTTATGCATGCACTTGGATTTCGGCACGAACATAATTCACCAGTACGAAATCAATATGTTAAGATTTTAAAACAAAATATTGAAAATGGTTGGGATCATTATTTTGATATTGATAATTCAAAAGATTATGATGATTATGGATGCCCATATGATTATAAAAGTATTATGCAAGTTGATAGTTTTAGACATTCAAAATCTAATAAATTACCAACAATAATACCATTACATAGAGCAATACCTCTAAATAAATTGGGAAGCTCAAAAAGTCTTTCTGAATGTGATATTATTAGAATGAACAGAATGTATTGTAAAAGTAAACCAATTAAAACTCAGTTAAACTTAGAAAAATTGCTTAATAAAATTATTTAAGTTTAGAATATTTAGTACATTATTTTATTTTTATTATTCAGTTTTAATTTTAGCTGCAAAGTGATGTTCCTATTGAAAATATGAGTTATTTAAAGAAAATGTGAACAAAAAATGAGCAAATTTTATTTTTCAGTTATTTTGGATAATTTAACAGATTTTTGCGTTTTTATTTTTGACATATCACACGTTATTCATTAGGTCTTGTCAGTTTAAATTATACTAAGTTAAGTTTCCAATTTCACAATAGATAGATTAACCTCCTCAAAAATTGTGTGTTGCTCATTGTAGTTGTTATTTGGTTTCTCATCTCGCAATGAAGAGTCCAAACCAAGCAATTATAAAAATTATTTTAATCAATGTTTTATACTTGATATATTCGAAAATTCCAACATGAACTAATTAACTTTTACAAAACTTTAAAAATTTTTATTCACCAATTAAATAATATTTGTTATTCCTCATTGATCAGTGCAATACATATTGTTAATTCTTAAAATATCGCAATCTGATATATGATTAGCAGTTACAAGAGTTGGAAAACTATCGTTTCGAGATACAATTGTTGGTTTATTATTACGAGAATGCCGATATTCGTCAACTTGCATAATGCTTTGATAATCATAAAGGCAACCATAATTTTCGTAATTAACAGCATTATTAACTTTAAAATAATATTCTCGTCCTGGTGCAATATTTTGTGACAGAATCTTAACAAATTGATTACGTATTGGTGAATTGTGTTCATGTGCAAAACCAAGAGCATGCATAAATTCATGTTGAATTATATGAAATTTCATACAGCCTCCTCTAGTAGTTTGATTACTACTTTGTTTTTCTAAATTTAAAATTTGTGGTACTCCCTTGTAACCCTGTTTAGCATTACAACCTCCACCGTATTTACACTAAAAAGAAAAAAGACAATCGAAATAATAAAATGAAAATGTTGATGACGGCATAAGAAAATTGATCTTTGTTTGATTTGTTCATTTCGAAAGAAAAATATTACTTTAGTCTACATTTGAAAGTTGATTAATGCTCTTTACTCATTTCAAGCTAATTATAATTCTTCATAACTAAATGTTTTTAAATTGAAATTTCATCTAATTTTACTAGATACAGTCATTTCTTCATTATGACATGATTTTGACATAAATTTTATGCGACTTACATCGACAATAATAAAGCCATTGAACTGAGTTCTGTCAAATATTTGAACAAACTTTAGACAAGTTTTATTTTGTATCTCATTTAAAGCTTCCTTTATTAAATCAAGATCTTTATTTTCTGAAATTTATTTTGTAAGGAAATTTAATAAATATTAAAACAATTATAAATTTGATAAAACTTACTAAAATCTGTACACTGTATTAAATACGGTACAATAGCATTTGGCCATTTTGGAAATTTTGATGATAAAGCTGCACGTTTCTCCAAATTTTTAAAAATTTTAACATCTTGCGTATTACATTCAAATCCCGCGTATTCAGGTACAGGAATACTTTCTAATATTTTGATGCTGAAAAAAAGCGATATAAGCAAAAACATTAAGATTTTAGTCATAATAGACTCGCGCGCAGGCTATTGACTAAATCAAAAAATTTAATCATTAAATTTTATCCTCTTGTATCTTATCTCTTAATACAATATATTTGTATAATAAAGGCTATATTATTAGCAAAGTGTACAAGTTTATTTACATGTGTTCATAGTGAAAAATTTAATGTTTTGAAATTTATTACAATTATATTCCGCAAATTAGTTATTAAATATTTTCAGAATAATAATCACATATAAAATATTCTGTGGCAATAACGCGCAGCTGAATATAGATATCACAAACAATTTTTTGGGAAAAAATACAACAATTTTAAATGTCTGACAAAACTTCATAAGCCGAGAAATTTATTGGTTAATTATAAAATGTAAATTGAGCGAGCTTGGTTTTATTTGAATCTGAATCTGGTTTTATTTGAATTTGAATCTAGTAATTCTAACATAGGCAATATTGCCTAATTACCACAGAATGTTTATAACTTTATACATATAAGCTAAATCCGATAATTTTCTAACATGTTTTTAAATTTACATTTAATTCTAAAATGGTTTTTAACTACATGTGTTCATTTAGAAAATACATGATTCTATTTTGTATTACACATGTTTTTGTAGTTGTATAAGTGATGCTGAAATTATATACATATGTATATTTGTACATATTTTAAATCGATTATACATAATTAATTGAATTGACAATTTGATCTAGTTCTATAAAAAAAGCAAAAACTTATTCGTGGAAGCATTATTCAAAATTTGTTTCGGCATTGCTACTTTCCAATTTTATTTTGATTGGACATAATTTTTTTTTATAGCCTTACAAACTCCAGTTATAACAAGCGAAATGATTTGCTGAAAAAGAGCAATAAATCTTAAACTACGTCATGCTGGTATCGATCAATCGATCTAGTTCTAAGTCATTCAAAGGTCAAAACAAAGAACTTTAGAAAACGTTGCCAGCTTAATTTCTTTGGATTGCGATTTCGTTACATAGTACGAAACAACTTGCGAAAATCAACCAATGCAAATTTGAAATAAAGCGCTTTCGCATTTCTACATAGTAGACCAGCAGATATACGTCACTGTTGTACAATTAATATATCTGTGATCTTCTTGTCAGCTACATTTATGTAAACCATATTTTCAAATTTAAACGTTAACATGAACTCATAAATTATTATTGTATTTACATACCCACAAAATATCACAAAAAAAAAACCTATAGCAGTCAAAAAACATCAACATTATTTATTTAAGATGACTCATTCAATACAAAAAAAAACTTTTATTTGTAAATATTTTCAGTCTTCTCAAAAAAAAAAAAATTCATTCAACTTGACTGAAACGAAAATATAAAATATTTGTGAAAATTCAAAACTTAAACTATATACGCAGTTACGTGACAGCTTTAGTGCTGTTAACCAAAATACTAGCAATCAATTTGAGTCATAAATTTCTTTTTTGTTATTATTATTTCATTTTAATAATCTCATTTTTTAAATTTTTCTCTTCAAATTTTTTCTCTCAACAGTCTCTCAATACATTTTTTAATAATTGTTTTTATTTTAACTCAAAATCTTATATAATTTTCTCATTCAAGTAAAACTAGCTTCTATAATATTTTATTCTTGAATTTTTTTTCGTTGTCAATGCAGTGTCTATCATTGTTAATTTAAATCTATTAAAAATTTAAGTTTTATTTTAAAAATTTTGAAGTAACATTGATTTATATTATAAGTATTTTAAATTCAAAATAATTGTATTAGCTTTTACATGAATAAAAACCGGTTTTTTAACCATGTGGCATTTATGAACTTGTAACATGCACAACTTTTCTATTTGATTTGATATTTGATTTGAATCCGGGAAAACTTGCAATTTTATACGTCACAATTATAACAGCATTTTTTAAAAGGAATATTTTACACATACACATACTTATACATTATTATAATAGTTAAAAGTTTTCGAAGTTCAAGAGTAACAAAGGAAAATATTTTTTATTTATTTCCCTTCTTTCGTCTGTAACAGGCCTTTGACACCTCTCAATTTTGAGTAAAGTGGCATGTTACGCTTAAGTCACGTATTTAGATTTACTTAATGATGTTCGATATAAATGCAAATAAGAAATGTTAATTGTACTACTTCTAGAACGGTCCGGGATTTCAGATAATTTTTCAATGTGATGGCGCGATCGTTTGAAATTGACTTGATTTGGGTTCCGGGTCGTACCAAAATCCAAGAAAATGTCGCATGCCGTGATGGGAGTTATAATTGTGCATTGTCTGATTGGCGGGTGACAAGAAGGTGGGATACCCTGCATACCATATCTGCAGTACCTACTGTAAAAAGGGGGAAAAGGAAACAGTGGTTCACTTTCTGTACTCATGTCTATTTTTATCACGGGGAAGACAGGGAAAAATTGAAATTGAATAGCTGAAAAAGCTTTGTGTGTCGAACATATTTACATCATAAATCAGCGTTTTCTATAAAGCGGTTGTGAATTTTGTTATATTATTTAATTGTGGTGCTGCAGTCCCCAGTGTATTCTGTTACATATGTTTATGGAAACCGGGCGTTATCAAATAAATAGAACTACATTTAAATATAAAAAATAATGTATGACGTCTCTCACAGATTTTAGGTGTTATATCATATTATAAATGTTGCAAAGCTCTGCTTTTATAACATTCTAATAAAGCTTATAATAGAAAAGTTGTTTAATAATTTTTTTGTTCTAATATTTTTGTTATTGTCATTATGAATAATAATATTGGTAGTATTTATTATAATAATTATTTATTAATTTTTAATTGTGTAATTGAAAATTGCAATAAGATTTGCGGTTTTATGCTTTTTTATTTAATTTTTTTTTTATTAAGATTTTTTTTCCACGCTTGATTGAATTAAGATCTCTTAACATCATTAGTAATATCCAGATGCTCAGTAAGATTAGATCAAAAATATTTAAAAAAAATAAATAAATAAATAAATAAAATGATTAAATTAAATAAATTTGTATTAAGTATAACAGTATTATTGGCAATTAATTTAATTCAAATGATTGAAAGTAAAAGAATTTTTTGGCCACCAATAACAAGTTCAGAACATACAAATCCTTTGGAAATCGCATTAAAGGAGAATTTAGAGAAAGGTTAGCTTGTATACATAATTGTTACAGTTATATAATGAATTTAATAGTCCATATAACAGATGTATGTATAACAGATTTTGATTCAATTTACAATTAAAATATTAACAAAATTCCAGAAGTGTGATTATTGTTTAAAGTGTAAAATATTTTTTGGTATAATTTATTGGCGTGCTTTGATAACCATTCTATTGCGTTCTATAGTTTTAATTTATTAGTATAAAAAATTTTTATACTCATTTAATAATATTAATCTAATTAAATTCTTAAATTAAATTTAATAAATTTTTATTTATGTTTAATTTCTGGAATTTTATATACTTATATATGAATTTTTGCGATTTAAGACGCCATTTTGTGTTTCTAATTGTTAATCACTTAGAAGTGAAAAAGAAAATGAAGAGTGTTATACAGAGTGTTAAAATCTTATCAGAAATTTAAACTGGTGCACGTGTAACCATGTATATAAGTTACTTTTACTAAAAAATATTTATGTAATTTAACAATTAAAATTTCGAAATGTAATTGAGTCTTTTAAGGAATTTCCGGTTTTAAAATAAAAAATAATTCGAATTTAACTTATTTAAAATAAAGTAACATATTGTAACAATTTAATATTTAATAGAAAGAGCGAGAAATTAAAAAAAACCAATTCAAAAAATAAATGAATTTCCAGCTTTAGCTAAACTGCAATTTGTGTTAAAAAGTTAATGCTTATTCATTCTACTGCAAATTCTACTAGATTATGAAAATCAGTCACTATTTTTAACTTTAAAACTTAATTCGCATTTTTCTATACCTTGACAATAAATAATTAAATTTTAATTAAAACAAGCTTTGAATTTATAGGAAAATAACCTTTGTTTGTTCTCAAGTCTCTACTGAAATAAGGAATCAAATTATTTTACATGAACTTTAAACTATGCATTTATTATTGAAAGCTTTATAGAAAATTTAAAATGTCTATTGCAATTTATACATGGTTAAATTTTTTTTAAAGTAATTATAAAATATTTTCATTAAAAATTTATAAATCAAAAATCAAGTGAAAATTTCAAAATTCATTTGAAGGTAGAATAGTTTTAAAAATCTAAAGCACAAAAATTTTCAATTTTAAAAATGCAAATTATTAATTAAATTTTTCTTAATTTTCTTTTAAGGATGTCCAAATAAAGATAATAAATTGAAACCGGGTACACAACCAGAACATTTTTTTGCCATAACATTTACACAAAATTTTGGTTTAAGTAATCCAATACCAATGCAATTTACACATATTGCAAGTGGTTATCAAATTAATTTTAATACTTCATGTGAAGATTGTAAAGCAAATGAATTCTTTTTTGATGGAATCGCCTATAAAACAACAAATTTCGAATGCCGTAATTTATGTATATTTGTTGCCCAAGAGATTAATGGTAAATGTAAAAATAATAGAAGAAATTATAGAGTTTTAATACCATTTGGACATAGACATTTAGAAATATCTGAAGCATGTCATCGTCTAGGCAATATTGAAGATTTAAAAAGATCAAAAGATGAAAAAGTTATAAATTTGGATATATTAAGAAAATTTGAATACGAATATATTGGTGAATATTCGAAAAAAGTATTTTTCGAAGGTCCAGAAGAAAAAAAATGTACTAGAAAATGTTTACCAGTTTGTCGGCAACCAGTTATAGGTGGTGATGATTTTGATTCTGATGATGATTTTGTATCATATGATAAAACAGAAGTTGTAACTGAAAATATTAAAAATATGAATAAAATGGATGATGAAAGAGTTAATGTTAATGAATATGTAGCGAATTTTGTCAGAAATTTATGTAATTATAATAAATCGAAAAGTTCATTATATGAATCATATAGATTAATGGATCTTAATTGTAATTCATCTAATACAATTAGTATTAGTATATTGAATATTTTAATTGTTCTAATTAATTTAATTATATTTAAGGTATTATAGAAATCTATTGATTGTATAGTTAAAGTAAAAATAATTAAGTTTAAATGGTTTTATGGAAAGAGAAAATAAATTTAGGGATTAAAATATTAAATTAAATTTCAGTTTATGTCATTTGAAATAATTATAAATTAAGATTACTTAAAATTGATTTGGCTGGACGAGATATTGAAGATTGACATCGGGGATTTAGATAGATTTCTCGACCTGTATTAAAATATTCTTTAATTAATTTTAACAAAAACTCTCCGTTTAAAAAATTTATAAAATAAAAAAATTTATATTTAAAATTCTTAACAATTAGGTCAACATAGTTGATATAAAAATTTTATCGGCTTATAAAAATAAATTATAAATTTGAAATAATAAGTTCTAAATTAAAAACTAGTCGAACAACAAATAGTCTAATTAAATTTGATCTAAATTTTTTTTTATAAAAGTAATCCTTTTACATTTAAATTTTCTAAATGTCCAACAACTTTCATAAATTCTTTAACTTCACATGCATACGAATAACCTAATCTTATATTATCTCTTTTCCAATCAATATAATTAATTTTATCACTAATATCATTACAAATAATATAATCTCGTTGAATTTCTTCCATTGTTAAATGGGGATTATTAACACCAATAAGTACAATTCCTTTTCTAGATCTAATATCAATTACTACTCTATAATAAATTTTTGGTACTGGTATTAAACCACCATTTTCATTTTCATCAAAATATAAATATAATTCTCTGTGATCACCATTACCATCAGCTAATGTTCCAATACCCCATGTACCAGTAAAACATTCCAAATATAATCGTTTCTTTTGAGCATATCTACGAATATCATCTTCAATTGTTTGCCAATTACCAGCATTAAATGATTGCCATTGTGGTGCAGCATTAACATAATAAAATGTTCCTCTCTGTTCATTTGCATAAACATGATCAGCTTTTGCTGATAAATGACCTCTAGCTAAAAATAATGAAGATTTTTCATCAAAATATTTTTCATGATTACCACCAAGTATTCGTCCAATAGTATCTTTTTGTTTCACTTGTTTATAATGACCATCAACATTTAATTTTCCATAAAAATTTCCTTTTCTAAATGAAACTCTTTTAACACCACTTTGAAATGAATTACTTCCGGGTGTCAAATAATGATGAACATATAAAGTTGAACCGATTTCTTCATCATGACATAAATCAAAAATACGAATAAATCTTTTATCTGATTTTAATTGAAAACCAACTTCTATTTCTGTTGCATTACCATAATGGCAAGTTTTATGTGTTCTTTGTGCAACTGATGGAAACCATGAATTACAAACAAAATCTGTTATATCATATATTTTACCATCAACTTTTAAACGATTCAAGCCAATACATTGTGCAACAACTTTATTTTTATCATGAAATGGTTCTAGTAAATTTTGTTGACAATTAAATTCTATTTTACCATTGTATGGTATAACAAGTTCACCATTCGGTTGTGGATTATAAATTTTTGTAGTTCCCGGATATAGTAATAATGGTGGTGGCTCTAATAAATGATTTTGAATATCAATTCTACAATCTGATGCATATGACCCTGTTGAAAATAACAATTAGTTAAATTAAAAAATTTATTTTTTCTACCAAATTATTAATATTGTGAACTGTGAAAAATACTCACCAATTTTGAATGGTCCAAATGAAAAATTTAATAATTCTTCAAGAATACGATTTAAATTAAATTGTGGTGAGCGTGCTTCAAATGTTTCACCATGACTATACCATAAAGAATTTATGATAAAAAAATAAAAAAACTTTCTAAAAGATCTCATCTCATATAAATCAAAAAAAAAAATAAAATGTTGTGAGAAAGAAAGAATAAAATAACAATTCAACAGTAACACCTGTTCAATACACCTGTTAATTTCAACTCACTCTCTTTAATTTTAAACGAGCTTTAAATACACGAAAAATGTGGAAAATAAAAAAATAAAAATAAAATAATTTATAAATATTTTTTATCATTTCTTTTTTGTTTGAACGCAATGAAGAAGAAGATAACAAAAATTTCGTTGAATTAACGTTAATTCTCCGAATAAATAACGAAACGAGAAAGTTGGTCGTATTTTTCCAAGTTATTTCAACATTTTGTTTGTTAGTTGTTGTTGTAAACCCTATTCTCTCTAACCGTTATATGAAGGGAGTTAAACTTTGGATTAACAGCTAATTTGAACTCTTATTATGCTTTTTTTGTAATAATCGCAAAAATTTTCGGTACTTACTTTTCATAGAGAATTAAATTTTTATTTTTAATTACGGATACTATTTTCCAGTTCTATATACTCGCGTATTGTACGTGTAGTATGTTATTTCGTACTACCGAAATTAAGCTAAAAATAATTGCAAAATACAAGTATGTACTTTAGGGTGGGTTAGCAGTAATACTTTTTTGTCAGACCAATTTGTAATGATACAGTCAAATTGTTCCGTAAAATGTTCTTCATTGATTTGCAGTGAGTTCTCACATAATCGTCGAAACTTTGTATACTGACGAATGTTCAAGGCATAACAGTTAAGTACGGGTCTACAATCATTAAAATATTATGTTTCTAAATTATTACTAATGTTCCTAAATTAAAAGTGTCTTACTCTGTATAATCTGTAATTAATTAAAGCAGAGGTTTGCTTCTGTATGACTTTTAGGCGGAAGTTAAATACTCATATTCGGTTATAATTACAGGAGTTACGTACGGGAGTACGCTTCCGAAAAATTTTGAATAAAAACTTTCGCATTAGTTTCGTTATTTCTGTTCATCTGTCGTATAGACACACAAACTTTATACACAGATCAATCTTGGTAAGAAACATATTTTTTTTAGAATTAAATATTTGTGTATACCTTAACACTAAGCTAAACTTCAAGTTGTTTCCAGTGTAACTTGTTTGCAATTTCTTATATCGAAAAAAAATAAACTATTTTAGATTCCGTAGTTGTAAAAAGAGAGTTTTCCGCATTTTTTAGCATCCCACCCTAATGTATTATACATAAATATTTGCGATAAGGTCAGCACGTGAGTTTTAAAGCAAAAATAACAGTTAATATGTAAAACATTTTACCATTTTTTACTGTTGTTGTTTTTGTTTAGTTTTTTAAGCGGTGGAAAACCTATTAAACTTAACTGATTTATTTGGTTTCGATGGCTTTATCAGTAAGATTTATTATTGCCATTGTTATTAGTAATTTTATAATATTAAAATGTTATACAAAGTTATAAAAGATTTTTATCTTTCAATTATTATTGATTGATTGCGATTAAAAGAAAAAAATCATATAAAATTTCCTGGATTTTTCAAGTCAAAAAGAGATTTTTTTTTTAATTATTTTATTTGCAAAAAACCACTTGAGCTCAATTGAATTTCTTTATGATTTCAAAAATAATATGTATAAGAGTATTAAAATAGATTTACAACATTTTATTTTTAAATTTAAGTGGGAATTTTATTTTGCAAAATTTCATAAAAACGAAACGTAGTAATAGTAAGTATAAGCACGTTGTACCTTCAATTACACTTAAAAAATGAGTAGCTAGATATCAAAGATAATCTTTTGTTTAATTTTTAGAATTGCAAGTTAAAAATACAACTGGGGGGCAGGAATTCTAGTCTAATTTTAGAGTTTAACTTTCATATATAGTTTGTTAATTGATTTCAACTTAATATTTCAAAGATATTAGCAATAACAATAGTTTTTCTTTGGAAAATCGCTAGAGTTCATCATAAACCAAAAATAAATTTAAGGAAAATCGATTAGAACGCACAAAATCGTTTTTTGATAACCTCATTATTAGAATAAGTTTATCAGTTATACGTCCAAACTCACTTATGTCTTTTGTAACAAATTTTGCGGAACACCATTAACATTTTAATTAAATTTATCTATTCTGATTCCATCCAATGAACGTACTTATAGTAATACATCATATTGGGCAAACATTTGTGACACTATTAAAAATTGTCAACTTCATGTGCTGCATAAGAGCTGCCATTCGAATTTATCTACTCATACAAGGTGTCTCGGACTAAATGGAGCTCCTGAAGCAGGGTGATAGAATAACTTCAGACAAACACTTAGTGACATTTTATTTTTTGGACCAGGCTCTCGATTTACAAGGCCCCAAAGTTGGAATATCTGAACACTGTCTAATTTTTACATTTTTATTGATAACTTTGCATCTAACAGTACCCTGCTTCGGGAACTCCATTGAGTCTTGGACATCCTTCTTTGTCATTTATAAAACAGTTTATATTAAATTTGATTATGTTATTAACAATATTGTCGAAGTTACGTGATAGCTACCAAAACAAATTTGGTCTAAAATCTGCCAGGGTCACATTACTATAACGTAAATAAGATTTGCTACATTTGATTATTCTTGTTAAATGGTCTTGGGGATAATATGATAAATTTTTTTTTAAAATATTGTGAAAGTAATTACAATAGCAATTCCAATGCGGGTATGAAATATCAATTGGATATAAACTTTGATACCCTCTGATACTATTGATATATGTCAATAATAGTGAATGCCAGTTCCATCCCATTTGATTTAAATAAGATTCTGGCATTGACTGTAATTATTGCCAACTGAGAATAATAAAAATAAATTTACTATACAAGAGGGCTTAAAACATGCGCCACTAGATTAAAAATATTCATAAGAAATCAAAAGAGCAACTATAAAAAAATTAGCTATAAAATTTGTTAAATTGTTAAAGATTAATTAAAGAAAACAAAAATTATTTTAATTATTTTATTCACATTGAGTACGATTTTGGGCAAGTTTATAGAATAATAAAAATGTCTAAAGTATACAATAAATTTTCCTAATTCCTTCTATTTAAATAAAAATTTCAATTGCTTCAGGCTTTTATAGTACTAGCACTTAAGTTTTTTTCTTTCCAATAATTTGTTAAATTATGATTTGTTTATAATTAAATTTAAATAATCATAAAAACAAAATTTAATAATCTAAAAGTACACATGTCCCAAATTTTAGAAAATCTAATTTTGTTTTATAAACCACGCAAAGTTGGATGTATTTTGGGTTTTTTACTTATTTTATGTATGTGCAATGTTTTAACCAACAAAATGAAATTTAATAAAATTTTCAAAAATCATAAAATCTTAATTAAGAACCGTGGTATAGTTTATATTTTAGGCTGGCGATTATATAACTTACAAAAGCAAATATTTGCAACTCAATTTGTGCTACGCTAGCGCAGCTAAAATTTTTGATTCAAATTGCTTTTAATAATTAGTTCAAATTTCAACCAATTTGTTTAAATAAGTAATTTGAAGCAGTTCGTTTCATTAAGAATTGCCTTAAACAAGGTTTATTGCCACTCTTGACTCCAAATCCTTTTTATTCATTGTCATGGCGAAAGCAGTGCAGTTTGTTACAATCTTTAAACGGTGTCCAGCGTATATTATTAGTAATATCTCTAGCTTACAGCTTGTATACGTTTGTTCAGACTCAGTCTTTTTATTATTGGCGAATAGATTACAACAGAAACTTCTAATTTTTCATAAAATATAAGAAATTCTTAAATTTTATGCTTAAATTTCGGTCTATGGCAATGTTTTCTCTTACTATGACACAAAATACCTAAATGCTGTGTATATTTTTGCTTCTTTAAATCTTATTTCATATTTTCCTTTAACACTATATGGATGCGTTATTTATAGAAACTAAATTTAAAATTTTCTGATCATTTTGAACAACTGCAAAAACACTAAAATTTAAATGTGATAAAAATGAAAATAATTAGAAAAATAAAAAAAAAAAACTCGGGGAAAATTAAAATATCTGAAATTTTTTTATAAACTTTTATCTGAATGGTCAGATAAGTTAAAATAAAAAACAGAAAACTAATCTTTTGCAACGATACCCTAGGATTATTGAAAAATATTTTAGTTTTTTTTTGGTTTCAAAATGGAAATTCGTCCTAATCCACCGAAAATTTAGGAATAAAATTTTCTTTATTAACAATATTTATTAATTAATACCAAGTATGTATAAGCTATCAATCTATGGCAAATTTTTTAATTTTATTTAAGTAATGTAAGATCAGTGTTAGTGAAGCTCTTCTTCAACAATAAATTATAATTGAAAATTCAAATTAATAATACCAATGGTTTTCTCAGAATAGAAAAAAATATCTAAAGAGAAAAAAGAAATAGGTAGAAAATGTTACAATTGTTGAATTTTTTTTATTCATTTACTACAATTATTGTTGAGTTTTCATGAATTTGTGCAGCAATTTGCATTTACATAAGGGCACGCGCACTTGCATATGTAAGAAAATGAGCAGCTAAAAATATGAACGGATTTAAATACTACAGTGATAACTGTATCAGATATAAATATTAATTTTTCGGTTCAAATTATTTTCTAGTTAAGCTATTTAATTTAAGCTACCAATATTTAACAACACTATTATAATTTAAAAAAACCACACTTTATACCAAATACACAACAATAAAATTAAGAAACTCTCTTTCTCTTCTGCATATTTTGAAAAAAATTTTTGATTTTTTTTCTGCATTTATGTCTGTTTCAAGTCCAACACATCTTTGTCGAATTATTCAACAACTTTATAAAAAATTCGCTATAATATAAAAAAAACCCGCTTATTTGGCAAATTCACTTGATTGAATGTACACTAAAATTATAATGGCTATAAAAATTAACTACCTAAAAAAAAGAGAGCGTAAAATAATTGTCATGCATGACATTACATAACATAAGCTATAATTTTGATGTTTGCCTAATTTTGAAAATAGTTAAAAATTGATAACTTGTTTGAACGAATTAGGCGTTCGTCTATCTGAAATTATCACAATTATTTTATTCTCGCT